ACCAAGGAGGAGTTCAAGTCCTGCATGAAAGCATAGCACAATCAGCCTCTCAATCGACAAAACTTTTGCACTCCATTTATGCAGTGGGCTATTTTAAATTGCACATAATAAAGAATGACTGATGTTGAGTAACTGGGGAAGGGGCAAAGAAAATGACCATTATTATCAATGAATATAGTTCTATGGTCATCAGGGGAACAAAGATGAGCTAGAGCTAAAGCCACTCGTCTTTGGACTGCCTTCTCGGCAACACGCATGAGATACAGCAAATAGTTCAAAACCTAAAAAAGATAAATAAACCAAATAAGACCTAAAACATAAAGAGTATTGAATAGCCAGACATTTCTTTAGTCCAAATAGGCAAAGGATAGTTATAGGAATGAAAATGCTTACTCGCCCATGAATCTTTTCCTCTAGTCTTTTCAATGTCTTGGCTACACAATCTTTCGTTTCCTGAAAATACCATAAACATATAACAATAAATCAGTAAGGAACGCAATGAGCTAGTGAAGTTTTTTATTTCTTACGGATATCATACAACAACTAAGAAACCAGTAGCATGAAAACTAAGAGGAGAGTAAAAAGGCAACATCTAAAAGGATTGAAATACTTGTACTATAAATTCTCCATCTTGCAGCTGTTGGACACCTCCCACCCAAATAAAATCGGATACATTATCCTGCAGGAGAGAAGAATGTATTAACAATGTGTACCATGACCCCAAAATATAAGTCCAAGAACTTTTTAAAGGTTGACAGCTACCACATGCCACCATACCTCATTATCTGCAAGACCATAAAGAGCAAAGGCAGCATTGTGTTGCAGAGATCCATTCTTTGAATCTAGAAGCTTCAACAAAGGAATCAAACCACCACTATGTGCAATACCAGCTTGATTGTGTGCATCCTGCAATCAAATTACATTTTAGTGACACAGAGCTAACTACTAGTTCCAGCTTGTGAAGATAGGAAATTTAGCAGAGCATTAAGTTTCTTGGAAGCAACTATAAAGATCCCCAAAACAAGAAAAATAAAAGAGACAAATAGAATGAGCCCTTTCCGTTCAATGCTGAGGTGCAAGTTTTCTTAAGATGTCATGCTGAAAATTTTGAGAGGCATGATACTTTAAAGAGTGGAAAACAAGGGATGCAAATTGGATACATTCCGACAAATCCATGATAATTACATGACTTACAACAATCCTGGAAGCAAAAGAACAAGTGGTTGGATAGATGCATTATGGGAAAATAATAGTTAGAAATTGGCATGGATCATAAACTAAATTAACTTCAAATTATATTCAAAAACAAATATTTTAAGCAGAGATAAGTGATCACATTATTGTCTCAGCAAGGAAAGGACAAGCATTAGCAAGATTTGAAGACAAAAGCCATTAAGCATCTTTCACAGCACTAACAAAGGCTTGAAATTGTACAAAAAAGAAAATATAAATAATAACCTGTGCCAACCTCCCCAAAGCAAAGGCTGACATTTCTTTCAGCTGCACATCAGGAGAGTGGAGCATTTCGATCAAGGGTCGGACAGAACCCCTTTGAACAATATGAACCTGCAAAATTCAATGTAGCATGTATCAGAAAGGAGAAATGATGAAAAGGTGAAGGGAATGAAATTTATAAGTAAAGAATAGAGACCACTGCTCATCACAGTCACTTCAAGAGCAGAGGCAACCACGTGAAAAGTTAAATTCATTCAAATAGTTGGACAGTAATTCCAGAGCCAATAATCATTTTTCTCATCATGTCCCCTAAATTCACAAATAGAGTCAAGAAGCATCTTAAGCCTAGTTAAGTATGAAGATAATGGGCAGTCCTCACCTTGCAATCAGAATCAGTTGCCACAAATTGTCCAAGCAATAAAGCTGCCTCCCTTTGGCTCTCCGAGCAGCAGGAGCTATTTTTCCAATAAAAAACATAATTAATAAAAAATGAGAAACTTGGATAAACTGCAGACCAAAGGAACAGCCAAAAAGTAACAAATCATAACCCATGTTAAAAGTAAAACAACTTAAAGAAACATGAAACCAAATTACACATACTTGAGCAAACCAATGACAGGTTGCAGAGCTCCAGCAGCAAGAACTTCTTTTTTTATGTTTGGCGATGAATGCACCAGATTGCCAATCACAGCAACCTACAAACCATTTGGAAAAACCTTTGATGCAACAGCTGGTAAAAAAATTAAACCCCAATGGAATTTGCCTAAAAATGATCTAAGTTATGTTGCTCCTACTCATTACTTGTCTTGAAGTACCCATGTCCTATCCTACAAATATCCGGGCATGGGTACAATGATATAATCCTTGAAGGACTCTCCATATGTATGGAAATCTTGAAAAAACAAATTAACATACTGTGACAGACATGTATAGCCTTGTCTGACACCTCACACCTGAGTAACATAAACAACAAGAATCCTACCGCTTCATAGTGTATAGCAGCATCCTCTGATCTTAGCATTAAAATGAGAGTAGGTAGAGCATCGCATTCAACAATCTGCAAAGCCATAGTATTCAGTCCATTAACCGGCATTGAAGGCAGTTTTATCCAATCCAACTTCCGTATGCACATCTGTTACCTGATTCTTGTTTTCATCGTTTTTGAATGCTAGGGTTCGCAATGCGCCTGCAGCTGCTCTTTGCACCTTTGTATCAGTAAATTCAAGCAACTCAACAAGAGGTGGAATCCCACCTTCCATTCTGTCAAACCAATCAATATAATTATTAGAATAAACAAGGAGCTATTACAAATAACTTCTGTTAAAACTGCACAACTTTAGCAAACCTGACACGGGTTTTAATGTTGCTATTCTCATGAGCAAGGTTGGTGACAGCATCAGCTGCCCTTCTAGTGACACTGGTCACAGCACGAGTAATAGAATTATCCTTGTGCCGGCACAACAAACTCACAAGATGTGACAAGCCCCCCGAATCAACTATAAGTTGCTGATATTCTGGCTGTTATTAGCAAAGGCAATAAAGAATTTAGCAGAATCAATGATTAAGAAGAGTGAATAACAAGCATATTTCCACTAATTCCAGGAACATAAACCATGCAAACCAAGAAAAATACCAGACTCAATACATATTAGCATATGTAACAGCCTATGTTAACAGAGCATAACTAGAACTTTCTCAAAGTTTACCGTCAAACATAACTTTAACGAAGAAAAAACTTATAGAACCTCAAATTTACTAAAGCTACTAAAAAGAAATTCAATATAAAAAACCATCCACATGAAACAAGTGAACTTCTAATACATAATTCAAAATGTAAAATAAAGTAAAAACTACGCAAATTTATTTAAAAATAGAAGTATGGTAGTAACAAACCCATTTACTTTTTTTTTTTTTGTTATAGAAGAAATATTCAGTAAAATCACCTTTACGGCAAGAAGCCCCAGTGCAAAAGCACTTCCTTTCTCAACTTCGTGCTCAAAAGGCTTCGGGATTCGGTCGTCATCCTTACACGGCGGCGCTTGCAGATGCTTCACTAAAGCCGGAACCGCACCACCTTCAACGATCACATTAACAACTTCCTCTGCCAAGAAAATAAAAACACAAAGAAGATCGTCAACGTTAATCGTGAAATTAAAATAAAAACAGTAAAAGAAACGAGACAATGAAAGGCAATAAAATTCAAATTAGAATGAGATCGGAATTCGGAAACTGAAGATTTTCAAACAAAAAAATACCGTTCTTGGCGAGTTCAGCGAGCACGTGAGTGGCACGCTTAGCAGCGGAACGATCTGATTCACTCCAAGAGAAGGCGGAATCGAGAACACTAACATGAGTGGTTACTTCCGAGGGCACGGCGGGCGTCGCCGATGGGGAGGGAGATTTCACAGCCCTCTTTGATCTCTTCCTCCAGTTTCCGTTTTTGCCCCTTTCGCTCTGGGAGGTCTTGTTCCTCCGGGCGCTGAAGCTCCATATCAAAAGAAGGAATAATAAAAAGGAAAGGACTCGAGAAACTCCGAGAAAGAAGGTTTTATGAGAAGCGTGATTTGACAGAGAAAGGACGAGACTGGATCAGGGGTATTTTTGGAATTCAGCCAAAACAAGAGGCTTTTTTTCTTTCTTTTCTTCCTTTTTCTTTTTCTTTTCTTTTTTCTCTTTGAAGTAAAATTTTTATTTTTTATTATTTGGTAAATTACGTGTTCAGTACCTAAATTATTAATTTTAATATCTAAACTTTTATTTTTTTCAAAATCATACCTAACATTTAATTTTTGTTTCATTTTATTACACCGCTGTTAAAAACTTAACTAATGTGCTCGTCGGTTATTGTGTCTACAATGGTCGGTCGTCAATCGATGAATCTCAAACTTTGTAGCTCGCACATTTTTTTTTTACCTCTGAACGTGATTTCAGCCTCCGTTTCACTGGAAAACGTCTCAATCTCCCCAAATCGATAACAGACTTTTTAATTTCTTCATCCTCTGATATCTATGGTCCACCATCTGATGGGCCTGAAACTAACTATGTTGGTCGACTCGTCATTCTCTCGCGATTCACGGTTCGGATTGATAATCCGTCTACCGGAGCTATGTCACATCAGCCCGTCTGTTAAGTTTAACGGCCAAGTACTAAATTGAAACAAAAACTAAACATCAAGTTGATTTTTAAAAAAATGAAAGTTTATATACTAAAATAGACTAAAACTAATAGTTTAGTACTAAATGCGTAGTTTACCCTTTGTTATTTGAGGTTTAAATTTTAAAAAATAGGTTTAATACATAAATCAGCCCTTGAGTTGGGATTTTTTTACTAAATAGCCCCTAAACATTTTTTTAGTTAAAATAACATATATTCAAATCGATCATTAAAAATCATAAAGGATATATGATTGTAACGGTGCTTGGGTTTTTTAATCAATTTTTTAACCGGCAAATAACCACTAGACATTAAAAGAAAAAACAAAGCAGCCAATCAAACGAAGAGAAGAGCTGCCCTTTGACCTGGTTTAGTTTTTTTCCCGCGTAAGTAATCTTTTTCCATTCCTTCTCTTCCACGACTCACTCTTCCCCTCCACCTTGACTCGTTCAACACCCGGTCTGACTCAGTCTTCGACTTACTCTTCACTCGGGTGCCCCAACTCACCAAAAAACTTTAAACCACCAACGAATTCATCTTCAATTCTCCCGTACATCTTCCATATCATGTCCTCTATGTCTTCTCCTTCGCTCTTTATTTCCTCCCTTTTCCTCTCGTTTCTCTCACTTTCCCTCTCCCAACGACCCCCCAAAGGTAACTCATATGCTTATTTCATTAAAAGGTGCATAGGATTTCAATTATTTCCATTTATATCCTCTTCTAACGTTTTGTTGAAGTGTTTTTGTAGGATATTTGATCGATTGCGGCGCGGCGGCGAGAACAGTAATAGACGGCCGAGAATGGCTTCCCGACGGGGAATTCATTTCCACAGGTGCGTCAAAGAAACTAACGGCTCCCGACCTCTCCCCCACTCTCTCCACCGTCCGATCCTTCCCTCTTCACAACAATCTGCGCCGTAAGTTCTGCTACGTGGCACGCGTTTACAGACGTGCGAGGTACCTGATCAGGACGACGTACTACTACGGCGGAGTCAACGGGTTGAGTTTTCCTTCGCCTCCCGTTTTCGATCAGATGGTGGACGGCACGTTCTGGAGGGTGGTGAACACGACGGAGGATTATCAGAAGGGAAAGCCATCGTCCTACGAAGCGGTGTTTGAAGCTAGAGGGACTACCATTAGTGTTTGTATTGCTCCGAATACGTATACGGAGTCCGACCCGTTTATTTCGAGTTTGGAGATGCTTATTTTGGGGGATTCGCTGTATAATACCACGCATTTTGATTCCAATGCTTTGAGTTTGGTTGCTAGGCACAGTTTTGGACACAATGGATCCATTATCAGGTAATTCTCAACCAAATTATTTTTGCAGGCTCAGTTTGTTGTTATGTTTTCTCGTAGTTTTTGCACGTTATATCACGAAAAAATTAAATAAAAATGGCTAAATAATCCAATATCATTTCTACGATAGTTGTTTGTGTGTCTATATCTATATATATTGTTGTAATTTGTGAAAGAAGTGGGTTACATCTGTTTTTAGGGTGAGTATTTGATTGAGTGTAAAAATTATGTCAGTCATTGAAGGTATTATTTTATAGCTTAAACTTTATTTGAATTTTTTCTTAGTCAAGTTTATGAAATTCGAGTCAGGTCGAGTTGTTTAAATTTAATTGTAAATATTTATAATGTTATAGTACTAATTGATTCAAATTTAAACGGTTTTCTATAATTATATATGATATACATATATTCTTCATATGCGATATACTTATATCATACAAAATTGAGGGACTCGACTTGAACTTAAAACCCAATCTACTAATTACTAAAAAGTTTGAGTTATTCGAGTTAGTCTAGTCTTATTTTATAATTCAAACCTCAAATTTATAAAATTACGAGTGAAGTCAATCCGAGTCGAGTTTTTCGATGTCGAGTTGAGTTTTGTTCGACCATATTTGTTCTCACTTTGAAAATTTCTGAAGTTGGAGTTTCTGTTTTTTGGAAGGTTCCTTTGATATTGCTTATTGTAAATGCTTTGTGCTGTAACCAGATACCCTGATGATCGATTTGATCGATATTGGGAGCCATATGAAGGAAATGTTTATGTTATAGCAAGCAACAATACTCCACTTGTTTCTGGGTTCTGGAATATACCCCCTTCAAAAGTATTCGAAGGAGCACTTTCAACGGATCAATTAGGGGCCCTGGAGTTGAGTTGGCCGCCTTTGTCACTTCCAAACTCTACTTATTACATTGCTTTGTATTTTGCGGATAATAGTGATTCGATCCCGTCAAGCTCAAGACTGCTTGACATACACATAAATGATGTAATGTATTGTAGCAATTTAGGAGTGACTTCGGCTGGAGCTGCGGTTTTCGCAACCAGTTGGCAACTTGCTGGTCCAACAAAGATCACTTTGAGTCCTGCTGCCAATTCGAATATCAGTCCTTTAATCAATGCGGGGGAGATTTTTAATGTTCTTCCCCTAGGAGGAAGAACTCATACAAGGGATGGTATGTTTTCTAATGATTTCTACTGCTGTTGTGTGAAATCAAATTGAATTTTTTCCTTTGAAAATGCTCCTACTGATTTTGTCTGATTGTCTGTTACTGGTTGCAAAGAACCCTTTATGTCAAGAATGAACCCTTTATCTCAATTTCTTGTTGCAGTTAGAGCTTTAGAAAACTTCAAAAAAAGGTTGCGGAATCCTCCACTTAATTGGAACGGTGATCCTTGCCTGCCTCTTGATTATGCGTGGACTGGAATTACATGTTCCGAGGGTGAACGGATTCGTGTGATAACTTTGTGAGTTAAGATGCAGTTTTTTGCTGTCCAAGCATCATCTATTGTTGCTCGAACAACTGAACTTGTTTTTTGTTTGTTTTTAGGAACTTGACTAGTATGGGTCTTTCGGGATCGTTGTCATCAAGCATTGCTAATTTAACTGCACTGAGTGGCATGTATGGTATCAAAAGTAGACTTCAAGTGATAAAATTCAAAGATGATATCATTCTAATTGAATTTTCCATTCTCTCAACAGTTGGCTTGGTAATAACAGTTTATCAGGAGTAATACCTGATCTCAGTTCATTAAAGCTACTAGAAATATTGTAAGTATATTTTTCTCTTGTGCTTTTTGCTCTGAGTCATTTGGCTACCTAAATAGTTGGTACGTGGGCATTTATGTAGAATTGTCTAATGGTTTTATATGAAAACTACATTTAATATGCTACCTTTTTTTTTTGTTAACAGGCATTTGGAAGACAATCAATTCAATGGAGATATTCCATCATCACTTGGTGACATTGGAAGATTGCGTGAACTGTAAGTCATTCTTATTTGGCTAATATATAACCCCTTGAACTTTGTCACTTTATTTATACAAGCCCTTATCTTTTTATTACACCTAAATAAGACCTAAACTTTATTTGGCATCCTGATAAGCCCCTAATCTTTAACTTGTATCCCAATAAGCCTTTAATCTTTAACTTGTTTTTAAACAAGTCTGCAACCTTTAATTTGTATCCAAATAAGCTACCAGCCTACCATTAATTTATGTCTAAAACAAAAACATAAATCAATATTTCATTTGAAATAAGGGCTAATTTAAATGCAAATCGACATATAAGGCTTATCTGGGTATCAAAAAAGCAAGGATCAATTCGAAGATAACATTATGCAACTTAGGGCTTTATTAACAAGGATATTTTCAGGTCATGTCATTCTCCATTAATATAGGAATCTGTCTCTTCTCCTCTGTTTGGCCCTCTTGTACAATTTCGACTATAGTGACTCGAATTCCTTTTGGCCCTCTTGTACAATTTTGACTATAGTGAATTTCTTCTATGTCCGTGGTTTTTCCCGTCTATGGTTTCCACGTAAAATCTGTGATCATTCTGTTTGTTTTTAGTTAATTTTTATGGTATATGATTCATGCTATTTACTTCGAAAAATACTTGAAAACATTTTTTTTATAAGGAAAGCACACTAAAGCTGGTCTTGAAAAACAAGACAAAATACAAAATATGAATTGTCATATCATATATCTTCTTTTATCCTTCCCCATACTTTTTCACAACCATGTCCCTGAGTCAAGCCACCTTTCCACTTCCAACACCAACAAGCCACCTTTCCACTTCCAACACCAACAACCCAAGTCAAGCCTTAAGCTTCCCATAGAACTTGGCCTTCTCCTGTGTCGTCTGAAGCGCCCATGGCCGAACTTGGATGTCGTATCGATGAACTTGAGCTTGAACTCCTCGAGAGCAACCCTAGATGTTTGGTGCAAAAGGGATTGCCTCAAAGTAACAACACGTTTCTTTGGCCAAACACAGCCACCTTTAATCATCAAATAATCCTCTTTCACCACACCATAATGGCGGAATCCACCCATTGGAGTAATATCCTTTTCAGTCCCGTCGTATTCGCTCATGGCGGCATGTGACTTGTCCAGCCTTTCCAAGTTTGTACACTTTCTTATTCATCTCGGTGCGGTGATGGTAGCCATTTTGGCCAGCCCTGGCAACAGTAAAGGAAACCCTAGCTGGATGCCATGCACCAATACAGGCAACCTTGCGAAGACCACGATGGGTCTTACGTGGGAGACGGGTAACACCCCATCTGGTCACCACACCCTCTTACCCTTTTCCCTTGGTCACACCAATCATATCAATCATCTCATCTTTCTGGAACACAGAATCAACAGGAATAGGTTTCTAAAAGAAACTGTAAGTGAAGCCAATTTTCTGGGCAACAGTTCCACCATTGACTTGAATCTCCATTAAATGAGCCTCCTCCTGCTTCAAACCCTTCATTTTTCTTATCTGAGTGTGGGCCCAAACACGAATCACAGTGCAATATTTTTTCAGTTTTTCCAGCTGCAATTGAATGTCTTTTTTACCATCTTCAGTTTCAAACTTCTTGGAGTACTTTGTGAAAGCTTTCTTCTTAGACTTGCACCAGTGCTTATAGAACCTTCGTTTCACCTCTTCACTCAGATGCTGAGCCCACACAGTGCCCAAAGTACGAAGACCACGAGGAGTTTTGACATATCCAGCAACTCCAACAACAACCATAGGTGGTGTCTCAATGATAGTAACTGCTTCACATGTCTCCTTGTGAAGTTTTGATCCAGGCTTTTCTCAAAACATTTCAATATATCAAACTTAATGCTTTTCTTCAAATACAAAGTTCTTAAAGAGATAATTTTTTGTCAAATGTTTTTGAAGTTACAAAGTAGAAATTTTTCGAAAAAAGAAGTTTAGAATTTTTATTTTTGAAGAAAGCATTGATTCCATAGTGAAAATAATCTATATCCTTTTTCTCATAGAATGATCACTTTGGTTGCCAAACCTGAAGAGATCGATTCTCTATTCATAGGAGTCAATTCTTTGGTACTTAGAATTGATAAACTGGCTCAACAATCATAAGTAATCGATCATTATTTGAACAGAATAATTCCTTTGGCTTGAGAATAATCTATATCCTTTTTCTCATAGAATGATCACTTTGGTTGCCAAACCTGAAGAGATCGATCCTCTATTCATAGGAGTCAATTCTTTGGTACTTAGATTTGATAAACTGGCTCAACAATCATAAGTAATCGATCATTATTTGAACAGAATAATTCCTTTGGCTTGAGAAGCAGAAGAATTAGGAATGATCGATCTTTATTCAAATTGAATCTCCTTTTGACTGGAAAGTAAAAATGATCGATAGTCGATACCTTAAAGGAACGGATCTAACCCTTGTCCCTTGACAGTTGACAGCAAACCAAGGGTTGAGTTTGGATCAGAGCCAACAGTTCTTTTTACAATAAATGAAGACCTATTAGTTATCTTCACCATAGATGGGGCCTTTCCAACACTACAAGTACAAGAGTGGTAGATTAAATTCTTCAAGCATTCAATTTTCAAACATTTAAATTCTTCATCTCTTGCACCCAGCCCTTGTTTGTTATTATCTTACCCCTCATTGTACCAAAAACTTGCAAAAATCAACCTCTGTGAGGTAAAAAAAAATCTATGTATATTATCTTGAGTTTGTAAATTTAAGGGGAGTGAAACCTTGAAAATGAAGTTGTAATATTGAAGACATAGTTGATTGAACTTCTTGGTGACGAAGCCAAGGGAGAAAATGTAGGTGTCTTTGGAAAGGACTGAATGTGAATAAATCTCGTGTTTGATCTTGAATTTCATTTAGAATTGCCCCATCCCTTTAGTTCTATATAGAAACTCATTTTGGTTTAACATGACTTTTAAAATTTCTAATCAACCAGAATTCCCTCTTCTTGGTTTATCTATCTCCTTTGAGCTAAAACATGAGTTCTGTATGATTGACATGTGATATGTCCTATATATTTGAGGGAACAGCTATTATTTCATATAGTTTGTGGTCCTTCACTTCTTTGCCAAGCATAGGTGGTTAAGGGTTGAGTTCCGTTATGAAATTTAGATCTGTATCGGCTTTCCGTCCTTCAACTTTTCAGTCATATTTTCATTGTTTTATCTTAATTTTGTTGTTAGTAGTGGTGGTTCCGATTCTTCCGAATGTACACTCTACCTCTTTATCCTTTTTTCCTTTCCAAATACAGAGCCGGGCAATGATAACATATGAAAACTTTATGATAGGTGCACTATTTAGTAGCTTAAAAACTATAAACTCACCATCCGTTGCTTTCATAAAATTGTTAGATTTACAAAAGTGAAGTGCCAAGACCTAAAGGAAAAGAAAATCCATTGGTCGGATAAGATTCGAGTTTTTAATATCGTGAAAAAATGCCATCCTAGACAACACATACATATTATAACCTTCAATTATGTTTTTCTGTCTAGATTGTTTTTACTTAGTTTTCTGTTTGGTCTAGATTCTTGCAAAACAACAATCTGACTGGGCGGATACCGGATAGCCTTGTTGGAAAACCAGGACTGGACTTGAGGTAAGTATAAATTTACACTAGCCAAGCCATTCTTAGCTTATAAACTTCAAGCTTTAAACCTTCTGAATTATAAACTGTTGGATTAATGTAAAGTTTTAATTTGTTTTAGGACTTCTGGAAATCAGTTTTTATCCCCTGCACCTTCGTAAGTAGATTGTACATGCATTCAGAGGTAACATCACGCAACTGGAATGGTCAAAGATTTCACCAAATTCTGTGTCTATGTTTATTCTGTATAAAAAAATATCATCTTGTTCTGAAACCTTGCTGGAAGTTTCACCAATGTTATCTGTTTGATTGTAAAGTTCTCATAATTTGCACGTTGGAGCATCCACAGTTCTATTTGTACTAAAAATACTTGTCCTTATTCAGCCAGTCTGTAAATCGTCTGTAAATCTTAGCCCTACTTCACCAACTCATTCCATTATATTTTTCTTATGAGATGTGATTTATTTACTTTACCTGGAATATAAAGCTGTAAATGCTTTTGTAAATGGAAGAAAACAGCACCATTTTACTGGTACAGGGAGGGATAAAGAGTGAAAAATAGACCGAAAATTCATGTTATATAAGTTTTAACGCATTCATGTATTTGTATCAGTTTGTGTCTAAAGTTACCAGATCTAGTGGTAAATACCATTTAATGGAATTACCATCCAGGATGTATTGCTGTTGGTAAAAATGAGTCCTTTCTGTCTAGTTCTTCTTAGAATTTTGGATGGCATTTACCTTTTAGAAGCATTGATAGTGAAGGTTCATTTGCTTTGTACTTGGATGCTATATGCCTTAGATCAGATGCATTAAAATACACCAAAATTTTAAATGTATTTCATAAATGACGAACCAGGAGCCATTTTACCCTTTTCAGATCCTTCCCTTCTTTCCCAAAAATAATTCATTGCTGTTTAGACCCCGTTCATCCTTAGCTGATCTGTCAGACTGGGGCCCTGAAAATTCTTAGAACTCTGCATCTTTGCATGTGGCGTTCTGTAAATGACTGCTCATTTTTCTAGCTCTGATATTGCATTAGTGATTGATCTGTTAGAGAGTGTGAATTTAAGAACTTATGTTAGACATTTTGGGAATTTGAAATTACCTAAACTATATAATAATTTGAAATTTCCAAGGGTGCAACCGCATCGCATCACCCCTCGGTCCATCCCTACTGCCTGATGAAAGTGAAACCAAGTAGGAAAGAACCGGAGAGTAAAAATTATCGGTCTACATTTACATTGTAATGCATCTGAATTGAACTTCCATCCATCATATTCAAAGATTTTATCTAGACATTAGGGGGGGAAAGAGCAGAAAAATTTGAAAATTAAAAGTAAATGGGACATATTGAAGAAGCCTAGATTCAGATCAAACTCAGCAATGGCTTTGTTCTTTTTTGCCTTCACCTCTCTAATCTTCCTTTCCTAAGAGGAAACAGAGGAGGCAATGCACTGCTCTTGACTTGTGTACAAATAGGCACATTAATCATTGGCCTGATTCTAATGCTTGCTGATCTTGTTCTCTCCAACCCTTTCTTTATCCTCTTCACATGGTTATTATCTCTGTTCCCAGACCCTTGTTTCCCTTCTACAGATGCAGCCACGTCGTCCAACGAGCTCGAGGACGACGAGGAAGACGACGGCGACAAAGACGAAGCGCGTTGTTTCTTCAGCCTCAGCAACTCCTTCCACAGCACGGTACATTTCGGTGGTCTCGGGGACGGGTCGTCATCGACAAACCAACTCACCTTGCTGCTCTCATCCTTGTTTATAACCTCTTCCACCATCCCACCATTGTCATCTTCATCTTCCTCCTCTTTACTTTTTCTTAGGCTGATTTGTTTGAGCTTCTCAGAATGCTGCTTCTGCCAAAAGGGGAGCAGCTTTCCCTCGAAGAAAAGCTCATCGGCCGTCAACATAGCATGGCTGCTCACTTTGCTTGAAAGGAACTCGAAGTCGGCAACTCTTGCTTTATCTTTCTCCTCTTCATCCATCTCTTCGTTTTGAGAATATGGGTTGATGGATATGAAGTTGGTTTCATCAAGGAAATCAGTTGAGAACGAAATCCTCGGGCTCGAATTCGGCTCTGTGCTGTTTCTAGAGCTTGCTTGAACAGCTTCCATGGCCATTCTTTAAGATCCAAAGTACAATGAGATGTGCATGGGATTTGCGGTTTATAAAGGGAGGAAGGTGGAAGGAAATGCATTTTTGGAGTTTCTTTGCTGTTAACTCATCCGATGTCTCCAAACTATAGGGTAAGTTCTAATTTAGTTCCCAAACTTCAAAATATTACATTCGAATCCTCAAGCTAAAGCGTCATTTTTTAGAGATTAATTTAAAATTCGAATCTTAGGGGGACTTATGATGGAATTAAGTCAACTAATTATGTGGTTGGTTTATTTATTGTTACTTTGTGGAGTGGACGGTGAGATTTTAAAAGCTACTGTGGTGTTTAGTACTGTAAGCATCACATGAACACTACACTCTACGATTTCAAGAGGACAAAAACGACTTTTCCTTTTTTTATGTAAAAATTAATACAATGTTTATTTTTATAAAAAATAAAATAAAACCTTTTCCTTGAAATAAAATTAACATATTTAAAAAAATACTTAAAATATTAATTAAATCAGATTATGAAGTTCACTGGCTTCACGTGTAACTATAAACTTCGAAATAAGTGATGAATAAAAAAATTCTGCATTTTATAAATATTTAATTGTATTTTGTTAAGCCAATTGCAATTGATTTTTGGCAGAGGAGCGTTTAAAATATTTTTAAATATATATATAATCTTATTCTTTTATTAAATGTAACGGTAAGATCTTCCATGTACTTGGGGAAAATATAATTATTGAATTTTCTTTTCATTAAAGTTTTTTTTTAGTTCTGATAATGAAAATATATTATAAATTATTAATTTTAATCACACTCAATACAGTCTCTTGAAAAGTGTTAGTAAATATTTTTTTTGATAATTTGATTTAGTTGAATCATATTTTAGAATTTAGAAATATTAATTATTACAACAAAGTCTCATCACTTTAATAAAAATTGGTATTATTAGATTCAAAAATAAAAAAAAAACAAACTAATTTAGCTGACCTTATTCCCATATATAATGGGGTAAGGGGGAGGTAGGGTAGTAGGCTGCCCCCAACGCCAGGTTGAGAGCAGCTTCCGTAAAAGACATCCGTTATGAATTGCCCTCAGTGGGACTGGATCCCACGACCACAAGGTTAAGAATTATATTTTTTTTATTTCTTTAAGATTTCTTAATATTGATAATTATATAAACCTCGATTATATTTAAAATCAGATCAAATCAAGTTAGACTAATTAGTGATAGTGAGAATTTTAATCAGATATTTGCAGGGATAAAGCTATATAGGGAGTGGGAGGGTCATTGCCCCTCCAAAAAAAATTTAGTTTAATAACATTTTAGGTCTTTATTAGTTTAAATTTAAGTAAAATGAGACTTTTACCCTCTATTTTTAGATTAAATACATAATAAGTTTTTATTATTTTGAAATTAAATACTTTGTCCCTCTCGATATTTGATTCTGACTCTGTCTTTGGTTATTTGGATAAGCAAAGGAAATATATTTTTTTTTTAAAAAAAAAAGCTTAGTTTCCTTTAACTCATCTTAAGCATGTGATCACATGATAGTAAATTTGAATCCATGCGACATCCGAATCAAATACATTCTCCCATTGACCAATGTGCCCCTTGAAATAGCTTGACCCATCTGGTATATCTGGTCAAAACTCATTTTGTCAAAGGGTATTCTCGTCATCGAAAAATAAAATTGACAAGTGTTAAATGATCATGTCCAGCTACTGAAAAGCTTGTTCCAAGATTTGCCCATATCTTAATTAACATCCTAATGCTTTAATATTGCTTTTTCATTTGATTATAAGTATGGTAGGGTTAATAATTGGAGTTAGGGACAAAGAGGAAAAGGTCAGAAGACAAGAGTTTAGTAGCATCTTCAAAGGCCCATTTGAAAAAGGGAGAGCTAGGGGGGGTGATGAAGACCATCAACTTTCATGGTGGTTTTTGGGGAAATTCAATTGATCAGGAATACACTCCAAGTCCTCAAGCATGAAGGCCAATGTCCCTAAACACTGCAAAGCCTGGGGGACCATTAATTATCATGCTATATATAAATATATATTATATAATTATTGATATCTTATTATCATACAATATATTTAATATAATTCATTTTATTCACAATATCAAAATTCGAATGATATTATTTAAAAATTTTAATATTATATCTTGTTAGACCGATCGATAATTAATTATTATTTTTAATTAGAATGATTAACTATTGGAGTATAGTTCCATCGCAAAGCTTAGCTGTGATATGCACAATGCCAATGCAAGTATTAAATTATATAGGCCGTCAGAGTGTGTGTGGATAACCGAGGACCTGATGGAGGCAGGCAGAAAGAGAGGGGACCTCCAATGAGTTTTGACCCAAAAGATCATTAATTATGCTTATTAATTTGCCTTAATACGCTCTGTCAGTCGGCTCATGAAACTAAAAGATTCAATATGATACAGTGAATCAGATTAAGGATTAAAGTGAGGGAAGGGGTACAATTTGGGGACCAGAATGTGCTTTAAGTGTATTAAGGCAAATTAATGTGCTTTAATTGTCAAATCCAAATTCAAGTTCAATGCTAAAGGTAGTCAGTAAGCTGCTTGAAGGACATCACGTATATAATGTTATTATTTTGAGAACTTAATTAGAATATTTTAAAGTTCATGTACTAATTCAAAACCCGAACAATAGTTTAGGGATGCCATCACAATTAACCCTATAAAAGGATTAACTTAGCATGATAGAACAGCTTAGCTAAGATGATCCTATGGATTTCATTCATTCTTTTAATAACAATAATATATGAAGTAATTATCCACGCACATCCTACAAATATAATTATTTAAACCCGAATTATTTAAGAAAAATAACACTTTCTTTTTACTATTAAGATCGATTAACGGGTTATTCGTTTAGACAATGTTGATTTATATATATATATATATACATACATATACATATTCTAATATCTAAATCTCAAGCCTTTATGTTGCTTATATGTAAAATAGATTTTTTTTTGCATGTGGAGGGAAACTAACTTTGACCAACATAAGCACAATCAGGCCACGTTGAGTGGTGGATTGAAGCAACAGTTTGAATTATTACAAAAAAAAATTAGCTGAGGGGAGGTAGGGTAGTAGGCTGCTCCCAACGTCAGGTTGAGAGCAGTTTCCGTAGAAGACCTCCAATTATGAATTGTCAACCATGGGACTCGATCCCACGACTACAAGGTTAAGAGCCTTGTAGAGGTGTCTCCGGACAAAATTATTTGCATTCATGCAAATTTTGTGCATGTCCTTACCTATTTTATATGCATTTACTTTGAA